GAGGACTTAAAGAGGGAGTCTGGTGAGCCTGAGGGACTAGAATTCCTAAGGAGGAGGAAAACGGGAGAAGTTTGCAAAGAGACCCAAGGTACTCCTGAGTCTTGGCCAGAACACTGACTTGAGCACCAGGGAAAGGAAATGTGCCAGCGTGGGAAAGAACCACCAACAAGTAGTGAGATGAACAATTTCAGAGTTCACACAGGGTCAGGAATAGTTTGTGGTTTCGTTAGCCAGAGTGGGCAGAGTTTATAACACACGGTGGGTGCATTGCGTAGTCTGAAGATGAGCAATGGCGCCTTCCTAATGGAACTAAGCCAGTTCCCAAGGAGAGGCTGCTCTGGATCCAAGATTACAAAAGATACAGGCAAGCACCTAAAGGATTCCATTAATCAGCAAGATCCTGACCTAAGGACTAGAAGAAAATCCAACATTTTAAAAAGAAATGCAACTAAATTTAAGGCTTACCAAATGAAAACCTTAAAATATGTGACACTGAAAGATGACTAGATATAAAAAATAAAAGGAAGTTATGGATTATAGTATTAACTAATAAATGGGAAAAAAATGAACCACTGTTTAACAGCCCTGGAAATGACACAGAGGAAGGGATTTGAAGACTTTAAAACAGGAATTAAAAATATAATAAATGTACTCAAGGACATTAAGAAAACATGAACTTGCTAAGGAGAAATGGAGGATAAAAAACAGATTCCACATATACTTCCAAAGAAATATTACATGTATGAAATGAAAATTACTATAGTAAATTCAAACTATTTTAATAATTTTTAAAAAAGAGTTGGCCCTTGGGAATAGCACCAAGACCTCTAACCCACAGGAAACAAGTCTCAGAAAGAAGGTGGGTGCTTTAAGAAATAATGGCTGAGGGCCGGGGATTTAGCTCAGTGGTTCCGGCGCCTGCCTCGCAAGCGCAAGGTCCCGAGTTCGATCCCTGGTACCAAAAAAAAAAAAAAAGAAAAAGAAATAATGGCTGAAAATCTTCCAAAATTGGAGAAAATATAAACCAGTAAATCTAAGAACCTCAAAAACAAAGCAAAACAAAAACATAACCTAATGAAAAGTATAATGAGGTACCCTATATGATACAAACTTGCTGGACACCAGAGATAAAGAACAATTCTAAAAGCTTGGAAACAGAAGAACAAAGTTAAGAATGAAAAGACTTCCGGTCTGAAATCACACAGGGCAGTGAAGAATGGAGCAACATTTCTACATTATTGAAAGTAAAAGAAAAAAGCAACTATCCCCAAATTTGAAACCCACTGGACACAAATGTATAAAATTAAGGTAAAACATGCAGACTTTCTCAGACTGATAAAACACAATAAAATGTCTCAACCACAAACATGAAGATAAATGTAAAAAGCACGTTTCTGTTTAAAGAAAAATATTACCAATATATTACTGTTAGTTTTATAATTTATACAAAATTTTAAAAAGTGACAAAGCACAAAGGCTAGGGAAAGAGAAAGAAAAACAACCAGTACAAGGATCTTAAAATATATACAACGTGGTATAATTTGAAGGTAGGCAAATAGGTAGGCAGTAAATCCTACAACCACCACTAACACAAATAAAGAGGTATAGCTAATGAATCAGTAAAGAAAAACAGGACCATAAAAGATAATCCAAATAAGGAAGAGGAAAGATGAACAGATGGAATAAATAAAAATCAAACACCAAAATGGCAGATGTAAAGTTAAGTATATCAACAATTACTGTAAGTGTAATCAGTCTACACACTGTAATTAAAAAGCAAAGATTCTAAAGCCCACCAATATACCACACAAAAGAAGACATTTTTAAAGACAAAATTATAGATTAATAAACATTGGAGAAAAATGTTCTATTGCATGCAAAATCTAAAAAGAAGCTCAAGTGGCTTTAGGAATTTTAGAATAAGTAATCTTTAAATAAAGAATGTGACTAGGTATAAAAAGAGTCCTTTCATAATGACAAAAGGGTCAATTTGCCAAGAGGACAAATACTTAGCTGGCAGGAATGCAGAACTGTAAAGGCATGTTGGAAATTTCTAGTAAACATACACTGAGCATATACCCTAACATCTTATTCCCTCACTGCTAGGCAACTTCTAAAAAGAAATAAAAACTTAGGGACACACAGATAAATAAATATATATATATATATATATATATATATATATATATATATAAATGTTCAAATCAGCTTCATTTTATAGTAGTCAAAACACTAGAAACAACCCAAATGGCTAGCTGGTGAGTGGATAAACTGGGCTGTTGAAACGATAGGATGCTATGCAACTGTACAGAGGGACAAGCTACTAGTTCACACAATGCACAACATCATAGGTGACTCTGCAAAGAATCATCCCAAATAAAAGAAACTAGGCACAAAACATTATGATATTTCAAATTCCAATTATTGCAATTCTAGAAAAGGTAATAATATGGAATCCAAAGACAAAAAAAGTCCATGTCATGGGCTGGAGTTAGAGGAAAAGGAATTAACTACAAAAGGTACCACAGAACGTTTTCCAGAAATGGTAATATTATTTATCTTGATTGTGATGGTGGTTATATAACTATATGCCGTTTTTTTCAAAGCTCAAACTATACATTTTACATTGTTGAATTTTAGCTTAAGCAAATTATTATTAGAAATCATGCATTTCCCTGATATTAGAAAAGCTGAATAATCTGCCCACGCTGAAGTGATTTGGAAACCATGGGAAGTTGGGGACAGACAGGCAAAGCCTGAGGAATTAAAGAAGCTGAACCTTTTTTAGGGTCCTCTCAATACCTGCCTTGAAGAGAGGAGAAAACTCCTTCAGTGGTAAAGCAATCTATTCATGTATTTTTACATCTGTCCTGAAGCAGGAGTGGAGGGAAAACAGAGTAAGGGTGGGTTTCTTTGAAACTAGGAACTAGGCAGAACTTCTTGCTAAAAACAAAAACAAAAACCCAGCCCTAGGATACTCAGAATTGCCCTAACCAACCAGAAACTATGAAGGTAATTAACTAAGGCCTGAAAGGGTTGTATGGACAGGTTTAGTAGTGCATGCCTGTGATCTCAGCTATTTTGGAGGCTGAGGCAGGAGAGTTGCCAGTTTGACAACAACCTGGGCAATTCAGTGAGCCTCTAACTCAAAAATAAAATAAAAAGGACTAGGGATATAGCTCAGAACTTCCTGGAGTCAAAACTCTCAGTACAGCAAAGCGGAGGGGAATGTGGAAGTTTATACTGGCAGGGAAACTTCTATCTTGGCTCCCAGCTCTGTAACTACTGAATTGTTAAGCAATTCTGGGGTTTGCAGTGGAGTCTTAGGGGAAAATGGGTGCAGCAGAGCAGTTCTCTCCAGTTAGTCTTAGATGGGAGCCCGGAAAACAAGGGACAAAGAAAACTTCACCTACTGCAGAAACCAAGGAGACTCTTTGCAAATTGGCCAATGAAATCAACCACATGGGTTGGCTCTGTTGTCCTCCTCCAGCAGGACTGAGCACGGGCTTTGAAGCACTGGGAGCTGCTTTGCTTCCTTTTTGCCTGTTCTTGAGCTGGCATTTTAAACTGCGGTTACTCTGGTTTTTTGCTTCCAGAACTTTACATGCATTAGATATGGCAGGTAATTCTATATCTCTCATTTTTCTTAGAGATCAAATCTATATCCATACCTGAATGGAGAATATAGACCCAACACACCAATCTTGGCCTTGGAGACAGACACCACAGCTGGACAGGGTGTGTGGCGGAGAGTTGAGGGAGAATGAAAAACTGTACCGTGTTCAGCTAATGCGCTGTTTGGTTTCCATGCATGGAGCAGGGTGTGTATGCATGCGGGGTCAAAGGGGTGGCTATTTTTGAGGCTACAGCAACTCTCTTTCTTTGAGACCTGTATTGTATTTCTTCTCGAGGGAACTTTGGTCTTATTGCAACTAACTGGTTGCTGACAGGATTTAATCCCCTCAGTACAAATCAAAATCTTGTCTCAGAATATACTAAATTAAAAGTTAAGGAAGAATTAGAATCTTCTTTGGTGCCATAACTGAGCATGTGATCTCTAATTCCACTAATAGCCAAGAATCCAACTATGGACAAAGAGTCCCATTTGAAAGAATAAAGCTAACAGGTAAGCTGGTGTGCTGGTGCACACCTGTAATGGCAACAATTAGGAGGCTGAAGCAGCAGGATCCTGATGGGCCTGAGTTCAAGGCTAGCCTGGGCTACATAGTTGAGACCCTGTCTCCAAAAATTGACAAACCAAACCAAACAAAAAGCTATCATACCAAATTATGCAGAAAGAGATGGAATGAAGTATTTCTCCCCAGCTAGTGTCTAAGGTGCCCAGGAAATATGGGAGAGGTACGCCTAAAGAACCCGGAAAGATTAAGAAACTTGCTTAACATTGTACGTCAGTTTCCTAAGTCAGTTTCAAGGGTGCCAGCACCAGTTTTTCTTGCTGCAGCCTAACAGAATATGCTAACACCTTAGAAAGAGAGAGAGCTCAGCTATGGATAGAAACTCTGAACCTTCTCTTCACTCCATGTCTGTCTGTAGGTGGGGAGCAACACCCCAGAGGTAAAGCCTACGAGTTTTAGCATCTATGTCAATTCTCTTATCTCGTTCAACTGTGTCACATTATTATTTCACTTTCTGCAAAGACTGTTCTGCGTTAACATACTCCATTTCTCTGAGACTTCAAACACCATCATTTACAAGATAAACATGCCTCACTCTTCACAGAGAAATCTGGAGGCTACACACAGATGTCCTTCAATTTCCCGATACTAACTGCACCTTGCTCTCCTACATATCACCAGGCAAGTTTCGATTTAGAGGCTTGCTTAAACTTTAAGAATACTTCTCTAAATATATTTATACATCATATATATATATATTTAAAATTTTTTTCTTTCTTGATTTTATTTCAGAAAAATTCACTACAAACTTTGCACCTAAAGATGAGATAAATGAAACTGAAAATGACAACAAGTGATGCTTACTCTTCTTTCCATCCATATCTGCATGGATTTTCCGAGCCAAGAACCCGCTTTTGTACACAGCAGCATTTGGGTCATGAGGAATGTCCAAGAACGGGTTAGTCGTGCTCCCGATGCGGCTGATGGTCTTTGGGTGTGTTCCATTAGCCTTCTCATCAGTACCTTCTGAGGGAGATTTCTTTTTCTCTTCATCGTCTCTGAAAGGAAGAAGACACAAAGGCTGAGCCATGCATCTACCACAATATCCACTGAAAGAAACCAGAGGACAAACCTTTTTGCTTTGTCATGGCCTACCAGTCTTCATAACAACCACCATAACAGTTACCATTTATGGAGGGTCTCTTATTGCCAGCTCTTAATGATCATGATAATCTTGCAAGACTAATATTAGTATTCGATATTATAGATAAGAAAACAGTGGGTTCAAAAAATACATACCCAAGACCAAAGAGAAAAAAAAAAGACAATGAGGGTAGGATCGTCAAATTTCTAAAGCCTTTTCTCTATTTGCCTAGTATTAATAATGCTTTCATGTTTGTTTCTTTTCCAACAGCTTTTTGACAGGGATTATGATTTTTGAATTTTGTAATTTTGCAGGGTCTAGCATAGTGGTTGACATATAGGAAACCTAACAAAAAATTATAGATTGAGCCCAGTGAATAACTATATCTGCCAAATAACCAGGCTAATTCCTATTATCAAAGGCCCCAGGTGAAGCTGCCAGCAGTCAAGGACGATAGAGCCATGCATAATGCTTTGGCGTTTTATATGTGCTACGTATTGCGACTACCATAAAGGTTTGGTGCGTCCTATCAGGAGAAGCCCTATTTGCCTTGCCCACTTTCCTGAGTCAGTGTTACTTCAAAAACAGCAAATTTAAATCTGAAATCATAACACACAATAAGCATAGAGGAGGCAGAAGACGGATGTTTGCATTCGGTTAGTAAAGGGGAGGGAAGTGTGGAAGAAAGCTAACAAGCTCTAATATATGGTTGGAAAACAAAACATCATAACAAAAGCATTTATTTTAGCCCAGCTACTCCAATATCCAGATTTTTTTAAAATTAAACTCTCGGTTATATTTTTATATTAAACTTCAATTATTGAATCTTTTATTAAAACTTCAAAATAACCAGAAAAATATATTGTAAATAAATCATAAAGTAAATAAATCATTAAAAATGTTTAAGCATGATAGTGGTCATACAAAAACAGCCTTTTTGCTCCATTGGTATTTTGTAAATAACTGTGAGAGGTATGAAAGTAAAACTGAACTTACTGTACAATAATTTTAAGCTTAAAAGATAGTACACTGAGTTTCCATGTGCCCAGCTTCACCTGTTAACATTTTCTGTAACTGCAATAAATTTTCTAAACTAAGAAATTGACATTAGTAAAATAATATGAATTAATCTGAGATTTTCTTTAGCATTTCCCAGCTTTTTCAAACTATTTTTCTATTTTAGAACCATATCCATGATCTCACAGTGCATTTAGTTGTCAGGTCTTCTGGTCTATAACAGTGAATCCTTCCTGGTCCTATGTGACCTGGACATTTTGAAGACCACTGGATAACTGTTTTGCAAATTATCTTCAGCTTAGGCTTGTTTTACGTTTTCTCATGACTAGATGATGGCTCCATTTTTGGGGCACAACACAGATGATGTACCCATCTTGGTGTACCAGACCTAAGTGGTATGGGTTTGCAGCGATATTAACCATGATTACTTGGTTAAAGTAACATCTGACAGGATTTTATTCTACAAATTTACTATTTTCTTTTGTAAATGTTTTGGGGAGATGTTTTGTTAAGTATGAAAGCACCTTTTTCTTCTTTTCTTTTTTACTCACTAACATTAACAATCATAAATGGATCTTTGCCTATAAAATAAAATCATTTATTTTACATTCTTCTCCAAATGTGTAAATGTGGATATTTACAACACTTTTTGGTCTTTCCCTAGCAATCACATACTTAAGTGTCTTCCATGACCATAATCTTGTCTTTCCTAGAATGGCATATCAATGGCTACTTTCATTTTACAAAATGCATTTAAAATTCATCCATATTGTCATGTGAATCAATAGTTTGTTCTCCATGATTGTGTAGCACTATTTCATTTTATGAATACACCAGTTTTTTCAGCTATACTAGTTTTTTCACCTAGTTTCTAGTTTTATATTTTTAAAATACAGAATTATTTGTGCTTGCAAACACCACCTTGACAACAATATCAAGTATAGTACAATAAATCTTTCATAGATTGGAATCAATCCATTCCAGAAAGGAGATTTCTAGCTTTCAAATAAATTATTCTATAGTTGTCAGTAAGTTTCATACTGTTATAGCCCATAGCCAACATCATAGTCAGTGGGGGAAAGTTGAAAGATTCTCTTCTAACATCAGAAACAGCTAAGAGATGTCAATACATGCTACTTCTATTCAATACAGGACTGGAAGTCCTAGTTAGAGCAATTAGAGAAGATGAAATAAAAAGGCATCCAATCCAACTAGGAAAAGAAGTAAAATTGTGTCAGTGTGCTGATGATAGGATCTTATATACAGGAAATCCTAAGGACTTCACCAAAAAACATAGACCTGATAAACTCAGTAAAATTGCAGGTTACAAAATCAACATACAAAAATCGGTAGTGTTTCTACATAGTAATAACAAACGTTCTGAAAAAGAAATTAAGAAAGCAATTCCCTTTACAGTAGCATCCAAAAAATTAATCAGGAGTAAATTTAACCAAGAAGGTGAAAGATTTTTTACACTGAAAACTATGAAAGAAATTGAAGAAAACATGATCAAATGAAGTTATCCCATGTTCATGTACTGGCCAAATTAATATTATTAAAATATCAATCCTACCCAAAGGGGGCTTTGGGATTCAATACAGACCCTATCAAAATTTCAATGTTATTTAGCAGAGAAATAGAAAAATAATCCTAATATTCCCATGAATCCAGAAAAGACTCTGGATAGCCAAATCAGAGCAGAAAGAACAAAGCTGTAGGTACCATACTCCCAGATCTGAAAATACAATCATCCTTTAGTAGTAAGGGGGCAGTTGTTTCAGGACTCACCATGGACACCAAATCTGCAGGTGCAAGTTCCTCATATTAAATGGTGCAATATTTGTACATAACCTATGCACATCCTCCTGTGTACTTTACACCATCTCTACATTACTTATGTGAATGTAATGTACATTCTGTGTAAATAGCTGTTATACTGTATTGTTAGGAGGTAACGAAAAAAGTCTATACATGTCCAAAACATACACAGGTTCTTTTCAAATTTTCACTCTGAGGGGCCAGGAATTTAGCTCAGTGGTTTCACTGCCTGCTCTGTAGGTGCAAGGACTTGAGTTCGATCACCAGTACCAAAAAAAAAATGTTCACTCCGGGATTGGCTGAATCTACAGATGCCACATCTACAGATATGGAAGGCTGACTGTATACTATAAAGTTGTTGTGATCAGAACAGTAATGATAATAAAAACAGAAACACTGCGCCAGTCAACCTTGGCTCTCAACTTGATGAGATTAAGAGACCCTTGGAGAGGTGACTGGACAGTGAGAGCACTAACTTCATCAATGAGATGAATGGGCTAGTATGAAGTGGGGCCCAGTTGGAGGAAGGGGGCCATGAAGGCGTCAGTTTGGGGACTAAATGTGACTCCTTTAAGAGTTCCTTCTCATTTCTCTACTTTGCAGATACCATATGTTATGCAGGTTCCTTCTGCCACACTTTCCCACCATGATATTCCCACCTGAGAGCCAGCTGACCATGGACTGAAGCCTCTGAAACCGTGGGCCAAAATAAATCTCTCCCCTAGTTGTGTCAGGAATTTTGTCCCATTAACAGGAAGGCTAACCAATATACACAGTAATAAATGGAAAAGGATAGAAAGCCCACAAATAAATCCAAATATTTCCCCTCAATTTGTTTTTGACAAAATGCCAAAACACACAATAGAGCAAGGACAGTCTATTAAAACTGGTGATGGGAGAAGTGAATATTGACACATACAATAATTAAATTGGACCCTATTTAACAGCATACACAAAATTCAACTCAAAATGGGTAAAAACTTAAATGTAAGACCTGAAACTGTAAAAGTAGAAGAAGAAAACAGAGGAAGAAAAGCTTCCTAACATTGGTCTGTGCAATTGTTTTTTTTCATAGAGAACTCTAAAAACATAGACAACAAAAGCAAATACAGACAAATGAGATTTTATCAAAATAAAAAGCATAGAAAACATTTAAGAGTGAAGAGACAGCCCCTGAAATGGAAGAAAATATTTGAAAATGACACATCTAAAAGGGGCTTCTATCTATCTATCTATCTATGAGTAAAATAATTCCTTAGCGAGAAAATAATCTGACTTAAAAATTTGTACAGAACATTTCCCAAAAGAGATACAAATGGCTTATAGATAAGTGACAAAAATGTTCAACATCTCTGGCCATTAGAGAAATGTAAATTAAAACAACACTGAAATTTCATCTTATTTCAGAAAGAATAGCTATCATCAAAACATCAAATAATAACAAATGCTGGTGAGGCTGCAGGGGAAAAGGAACCCTTCTCTATTATTGGTAGGAATGTAAACTAGTACAGTCACTATGGAAATCAGTATGGAGATTCCTCAAAAAAAACTAAACACAGAAATTCCATTCAACCTGACTATTCCCCTTCTAGTGATCTTCCCCAAAGAGTTAAAGACATTATATTACAGTGATACATGTATACCTGTGCTTATAGCAGCACAGTTCATAACAGCTAAATCTTTGAAGCAGTTTATGCATCCATTGAACAGACAAATTGATAAAGAAAATGTAGTTATGTATACATAATGGAATGGTACTCTGCCATAAATGAGGATAAACTTCAGTCATTTGTAGGAAAACAGATGTGCCCTGAGACCATAATGTTAAGTGAAATAAGGAAGACACACAAGTTTAAATATCATGTGGCTTCTCTTGTATGAGAAACCCAAGATATAAATAAAGGGCAAAATAATTAATAGATAATAGGGCCAAGAGAGATAATCTTTTCCAAAAGGGAAGAGGACCAAGAGATGCAGGGAAGGGTGAATGGGGGGTGGATTAAAAAAAAGAATTGAGATGTGTTATGAACATGCTCCAATTCCCCAGGAGAAATGTAATGACTATGTACTGTAAACATG